AAGGAAAGCTCATTGTGGGACTGGCTCGTAGTGGCTGAAATTCTGCACCAAGGCTGAATTTCGGGAAAGAGACTTCAGATACAGTACTAGGGACCACTTAGGCCTATATAAAAGCATCCAAAAAGCAGCATGTCATGGGACCTTTAAGTGAAAGCAATTGAAAAGAAAACCACGTGTAACAGTATATTGGATCCGGGCAGCTCTTATAGTGACAGCAGTCTAATATTCCTGCTGTCTGTCATTCATGTTAATCAAACAACAAAAGAAAACCTCTTACTGCTCTTGACTAAATCACTTTTGTAAATTTAATAAGAAGAAATATACATTTAATTTAAACAGTGAAGAATATGCTGTGTTTTTATACATTTGATTACTTTATACAATGTATGTAGCATTTCTAATTTGTTCTACTCTAGTTTTTCGTTCTATTGTTTGTAATTAATTTCTTATGTAATCGCTGACAGTTTATTTGTCTTTAGTGAGCTTGAGTTTTGTTTTTTGTTTTAATTTAGGCTAGTATTAGTTTTTTATTATTCTTCTGAGCCAAAATTTAAACACTATCTCCTCCTAGAGCTTTCAAGCTACAACCACCAAACTCGGGTCAGACCTCCAGACTGGTCTGACTCGGTGTGCTACATCTTTTCTAACTGATCCGACTTATGGTTTTCATAAACCAGACTATCAAAACAACCTAAAATCTCATAGACTTACATTGAGGGTGTGATATTTTTTATACAATGAGACTTATGGTGTTTTTAAGCTGTCTACTGCCATAGCAAAGCTTAAAACTCCCTACTGAAAAAAAACGCTAAAACCAGCCTAAGCTGATTGGCTGGTCTCCCAGGCTGGTTTTAAAGTGGTTTTTGGCCACTTTTTAGCTGGTCAGTCTGGTCTTAGCTGGTCAAGCTGTGAGACCTGCTAAAAGACCAACCAAGCTTAACTCAGATATTTTCAACTTAAACCAGCTAAGACTAGGCAACCAGCCTAAGCTGGTTTTAGCTGGGTTATTACTGAATCAAATGGGTGTAGCTGGTTTTTAGCTGTTTTTTTTTTACTGAATCAACTGGTTTTAGCTGGTTTTAACTGTATTAGCATAGAAATATGAAAACAACATGCTAGTAACTTGCTAATCATGCTAACAACATGCTAGTAACATGCTAACAAACATGCTAGTAACTTGTTAATCATGTTAGAAAAATGCTAGCAACCTGTTAATCATGCTAGAAACAAGCTAGCAAACATGCTAGTAACTTGCTAATCATGCTAGAAACATGCTAGCAACATGCTAGTGACTTGCTAATCATGATAGCAACATGCTAGTGACTTGCTAATCATGCTAGAAAAATACTAGCAACATGCTAGTAACTTGCTAATAATGTTAGAATAATATTAACAACATGCTGTTAACATGCTAATCAAGCTTATAACTTGATAATCATGCTAGAATTTAGCTA